GAGGCCCCACGAAGTTTTACTCATTACATTGGTAGAGTCATTTATTTGCATACATATTTATTTACTTGCATTGTTTATTATGTTTTTATAATATTTATATTTATTCCAACAGTGCAACTGTTTTAAAAGTTAAGTTCGGAATGCTAACTGGGATGAACAGAGGATCTAATATGGTATTGTCACCAAATTACTCATATTTAGATATCAACAATCATCTTTTACCACGAGGGAGTCCTTTACAGGTGCGCCCAGTCGATTCATCTTCCCAGAGGACCCAAAACGGCATAATTTGGTCTATAAACCTCATGGGATTAACATTTAGTAGCAGGCATATGTTGAGATGTCAACTTGAGGTCAACTCATATTTTGGATACATATCCTCGGTGATTTTGGTCTTACACTTCGGCTAGCTGCATCCTTTATTCAAAAGATTGCATTTATACTAATTCAGCCATTCGAGTAGTTTCATGTCAGGGGTAATAAGATAGCATTATCTGACTAGAGAGAACGCAATCTGCGTAGTGCAGTTGTCCACTCATCATCATGTCTCATTACTATCATCGATGTCGCTATTATCACCTTATTTCTACAGTATTCTCTTCTTGTGAAACATTTAATTGTTTTCAATCTTGATAGAAATTCTCGGAATGATGCTTTATTATTGAAACTTAATCTTATAAGTACTATGTCGTTTTTTTTAAAGCTGTTAACAATGCAATATATATTTATACTATATACATTGGCAGCAAGGATGGGTTAGCGTTTTCATAACAGCCACGATTGGGTTGCTAATATCATCATAATCCCAATTCATCTACGTTTGTTTAGTTTCTATTAAAAATGACGGAATATAAGAATGAGAGTAGTTTTGTAAGAATGAATACTGCTTTTGGTTATTTATGTTGTAGATTTCCAAGAGACGTGCTGGAAAAAGCCAGGTTCAAGAAGGGTTCAAATGATCAAACGGTTTCAAGTCCAACCTTCACCAGATCATGATCTCGGCTTACACGCATATGACATCGACACCGATACCACATTAACCCTATCGACCAGGTCTTTCAAGACACAACTTGGAAGTCAAATAGCATTTGTCAGTATAAACACACATTGATAGCAGACATCTGAATAGAATTCATCCCTTCGCAATATTGGGCATATTTGGACTATATTTAATCCCCACCGCTCTACTTCATGGGTCTACTCAGTGCAAGTTACAGCATACTCGATTACCAGTTGATTTCATCAATAGATACTTCATACCTTGGTAATTCAGATGCATTGCAGGGGACTGAGTTTCAACCTCCCTATTTTTCTGTAATATGCGATTACAGTTTTTACCAAGGGTTGGGTTGCCGGATTTAGAGCCTACCAAATGTCTCATTTCAGGACTGACATTTGCCATATGATCTGATGATCGGATAATATCAGAACATCTATGGATACGTTTAGGGACGCTGTGTAATTAAAATAGTTTGCCGGGGACAATAACACTTGTGCAGTGCAACCGATGCAGCAGTATCTGCGTACCAGAATCACAACCAGGAACGCACACCTCGTTTGTAACACCCGATATGCCGCCCTTATCTAACATTCTACCGCGGTCAGGGATGTGCTTTTGGCCCTGGGAACTAACTCGATACTTTATATTACGCAGGTCATTCATTTCGCCACGGAATGCATATAGAGGACTCAAGGATCATGACCCCTGGACGATGAAACGAGGCGCTCTAGGACATATTATATCCGACACCAATTTCTGCGATCAAAGCAGCTACATAGTGTCTATCGCCAATTAATTAGACTAGCTCTGTCGGAACGTTACTTGATGTACAGTGTTAGGATAGGATTTCGTTCCAGTGATTTACCAGTTAATGACTTTGGATTTAAATAATCTACCTCATGGCGATAATAGACATATAGCACCAACAGCTCCTTTCAATTATCCAACCCATTAACTTAATATTAAGCTATAATTTCAAGTGTCATTGTAATCATTAATTGATAAACAGCGACGTGCTATACGGTCCTTGGTAGAGCATCTGGTCCAATCGTTGCTCTGGACATATATGGTTTCATTGGCATTCGCCGATGACTTATCAAAGTTCATATTGTTTTGTATTATATAGCGTTTTCTGAATGGCCCATCTTGGTCACGTTCTCTCAACGAGATAAACCGTGCACGCGAGGAGTCCCATTCAAACTTTCTTTTCACTGAGCTACAGCGTAGCAAGGTGCCCATAGGATGGACCACATTAACCGCGCCCCAACATATCAAGCTTGGATAAGTCGTGCTGCCTTTTGTGTTCCATCCGTTACATGTTCATATCATAGCTATTTGTTATCTATTTGTAAGTTTACTTTACCCAGTATCTACGTAATAATTCCAGTTTTAATCATAATATTAATGTGTATATGTGTAAACTAATTACTAATCTTTGAATCTAATAACTTTGACGGACATGCAGCATGTCCCCTTCTTGACGAACTGACGGACTATGCTGCCACTAAGTTATGCACCCGGGGCTATGCACCCTCAACGGGGTAAGTCATGCACGCTAGTGTCTTCGACCACTTATTTCAATACACCTTGGCTCCGTTCTCTACGAGAATAAACCGGGTACGCGAGGGGTATTCCTGAATGGCCCATCTCGGCTACGTTCTCTTCGAGGTAAACCGTCTGCCCACGAGGTGTCCCATTCAAATTTTCTCTCCACCGAGCTACAGCGTAGAAGGTGCCTATAGGATGGACCAGATTATCCGCGCCCCAACAATTACAATCTTGGATAAGTCGTGCTGACTTTTATGTTCCATCCGTTGCATGTTGCGTACTTTCGCGTATCATTCGCGTAAGTGTAACATGCCTATCCTACGACGCTCTTGTATTGGCATGCATACACCTACGTCATATTAACACTGACTTCGTCCTTACCAGGCCTCATTCAATCAATCTTTGGGGAACGGCGTATCCTATCGTTCACAGAGCTTTTATTTAAACTCCGTTCACGAGTATACTTGTTTTTGGGCTCTTATCCCAAAGATTAATGATTATATAAGGTTGCATAATCATGATTTTGCGCTGTCATTACGTAACATTATCTCATGATTACGTAATCGTTTCTGTGGTATACAATTACGCAAGTTCTGATCGATAGATAGCCGTCTCCCCATGCCAAAAAGGTTAAATTGTAATATGTTATATTTTATGTAATAAAATCTATAAAACGTACACATGTTCTTTGGATATAAATTGTGATTTAACAAGTATTTGTTAAATCTGGTTTATATCACAGAGAACGGTGTCTGTCCTACCAGCCCAATTAAAAGTCTGTTGACAGATCCAATTAGGCCGGGACAATAACTTATCTTAATGCTATACCAACTGTTCTGTAGTAGTTTGGTTTACACAGTTTTAGCTTTGCATCTTGAGGAAGTCGGACGCTTACCCGCCCCCACCCCTTCGCCCCCTTAATAGGGGGTATCGGGTGGCCCGGATTTCGGAGGCGGCTATCTATCTCAGCACTCGGTCCTCTATGGTCTCTCTCTTATCCCAAAGATTAATGATTATATAAGGTTGCATAATCATGATTTTGCGCTGTCATTACGTAACATTATCTCATGATTACGTAATCGTTTCTGTGGTATACAATTACGCAAGTTCTGATCGATAGATAGCCGTCTCCCCATGCCAAAAAGGTTAAATTGTAATATGTTATATTTTATGTAATAAAATCTATAAAACGTACACATGTTCTTTGGATATAAAAGTTGGAACATTAGATAAGCATCTTTATCTTATATGAGATCTTCTTAAAAGGAAAAATGAATTATTTAGAATAAGTAAAAGGGCATTATCATCTTCTGATATGATTTTATTTATTGCAATAAGCTATAAGTATGCTCAAATATTAATAAACATGCTGTTTTTTTTCAAATCGTTACACACACAAATACGTCTTTTATAATGTCCATCATGTTTATGTATATCATAGGCCTATTGGAAGTAGATGGTAGCTTTTCAACTTGCTTCAAATTGATTAAATTTTTTTTCATAATCATATACGAGTTCTCAGAAGTTCAAATCTGACTATAGAAATGAGATTTGACCTTCAATGACTCTTAAGGTCAAAAAATGTCCAAAAGGTATTTTGCTTCAAATTGACCAATTATTTGACTTTAGATTAAAAGATATTTAGATTAAAACAAGGTCAAAAGGTATTTTTCAACTTGCTTCAAATTCATAAATGTTCTCTTCAAAATCATCTACGAGTTCTCAGAAGTTCAAATCTGACTATAGATTTGATATTTGACCTTCAATGACCTTCTCAAGGTCAGAAAAGGTCGAAAGGGTATTTTTCAACTTGTTTGAAATTGGCTTAGTTTTTTTCAAAATCAGCTACCTGTATAAGTTTTCAAAAATTCAAATCTGACTTTAGATTTGTAATTTGACTTGGTTAAGAGGTCTAAAAGGTCCTTAGGTTAAAAAAGGTCAAAAAGGTATTTTCAACTTACTTCAAATTGATTAGATTTTCTAGGTTGTAGTTAAACTGTGTCACGAATAGACAATACGATTAAACATTTATGATTTTGAAAAAAAATTCATGGAAATATGAACTTGAAAAACTAAAAAGCTGAATGATATATTTCAATCCTGGATGGATTGTACTCCCCAAGCAACCCACACCCAACGCCCTTTCCTCAAACCCATGTAGTAGGAGAAGCGTTACTCTACTTTTTCCATGACCACCCACCCATTGGAGCTGGTCTTAGACTAGTGAACTCAGAACAAACAAAATTAATATTTATAACATTGAACTTTTTATGAAGCCAACACCATTAAATGACTTCGAGTAAATGGGATTTCAAGACGTAACAAAAAGATAAAATGTAACAGACGGCACTAAGGGCATTAAATATTTCAATTATTCACGAACATGTCGCTTTGTAAAAACATTGTTCGTAAAATAAATCCAAGACATCTTGTATAAATACCGAAGAGTGGTGTTAGGTCTTTCACATTTCCACTTCTTCCCGGACGTCTACACTGGAGAAATTGTTAAACCTACTATTGCATATTCATCAAGTAAAATAAAACAGGTAAGAGGATTTTAGAATTAAAATATTGTAAAAATAAAATTTCTTGTTGAGATGTTTGCATTTGAATAGTGAGCCATTGGAGATAACATGTTTTAATGTTTAGTTTGCAGATGGGTCATTTTGAAGATTTGAATCTGAAGATTTGAATTTTGGTGATTTGTCATCATTGACACCTTGTTCATTTTGTTACGTATTTATTTACTCAAATCTTTTGAAAGTCATGTTTTTATTCACAATTTTTCAATGGTGGGTCGCATCTTCATGGAGGCTATGTACCACATGTTTTGAAGCATTAGATACATAATCAACCAGGACGTTAGCTGGTGAATTTGATAACGGCAATCGGTTGTGTTGTATTGTTGTGTTGTACGCGGGTTTTTCGGGTAGTTATCAGAAATTTACACCAAACTGGAGAATGTACATGCTATATTTTCTAAAAGACTAGTCTCTGTTTGGATAACGAAGTTCATCAGTTTACTGCACGTTACGCCTGCTTTGGACAATTTTGATATTCTCTTGTAGATTTAAATGTCCTCTTTCGAATATGCATAATTTAATTTGGGTGTTATTTCTATATTTTTCAAAGAAAATTATTTGCCCAGGAGACTGTTCTCCAAACCGAGACTTGTCAGTTATATTTTTTCGCAATAATTGACAAAACATTAAACTTTTACTTGGAATACATGAATATCTTACAAATTAATCTGTCTTTTAAAATGTGAAATGGTAAACTCTCATCATCGTCATCATCGGTATTATCAACAATAAGTTAAAGAAGTCATGCGATTTTATCATTTTAACGTATTTTTTTTCTCTAGACATGAGGACCTACATTTTCTGTGCATTCACAGTGCTTCTATGCGCATTGGGTACCACGGCTACAATTAGAAAGTTAGGTGAGTATATACACGGTCCCTCCCAAAAGGAGCAGACAATTAGATTTAAGCATTTTAAATACTTCTGGTATGCATGCATGGAATACCACTCTACCAAGTTACAATAATTTTTACAGGATATATAGATTAGTTTAGTTTGATTATTTATCTATAATGGTAAGTCTTACAATTCAACAAATAGTACAAAAAATAATAGCAAAATAATACCCTTTGGCTTATTAACCCGCATGGGCGTAGCCAGGAGGGGGTGCGATGGTGTGATCGCACTCCCCCCCCCCCTCATTAGATAGAAGAAAACAATTTGAAGAAAGTTGCATCAATTTTGAAGAAAGTTGCATCAATTTATGTAAAATTCAAAACAAATTCTCAATTTTTGTGGTTTCTTATGCCACGATTGTGAATATACTTGAAATTTTATTCGCGGTCATCTAACAGACAATTCAATCATTTTGAAAGTTTCATCAGGTAACGCTTAAGTTTCACAGAAAATCTTGTTTTAGTACTATCACCTATTTTCAATGTTTTCAACCAGGCCCATTCTCCATTAAACTCGGCCCAACTATTATAAGGTGGATATCCTTCAAAAATCACGTTATCATGGTTACCAAAGGCGTAAATTACCATGGCAACCGTGAAAATGGGGTTAATAACGAGAGCAAAAAAGCTCCCAAACCTACCACAACGGCACTGTTTTTTAAAAATATTTTTAGATATACAAATGTTCATACACTTTGATATCATCTAGAACACTCCTTGACTGTAGAATCACCTATTATCCAAAATGGCTATATTTTGTCAAGGTCGCCATGTTAAAAGTAGAATTACGGAGCTAAATATGCTCTTCAGACAATGTTTGATAGCTATTCTTTAACACGGACCAAAGATCTCTGCACTGGTATGCCCATTTCCATGAGATAATACACTTGAAAGAGGAACTTTAAATGTCATCAAAACTGCCCAGACGTGAAAAGGACATTTTTGTATTACTTTTGGTATAATAATTCCAGAGCAATTCGTCTAAAATGTCAGATTTCTCAGGAATAAAATGCAACAATTTTTATGATCTTTTAACTCATAGGCCAAGGTAAAAGTATCAGTAAGCTGAATCTAAAGACAATCATTGATTTTTTTCAAATCTTTTACCTAGAACTGCATTTTATTGATGCAACAGTCACACCCCAAAGTTCTGGTATATATAAAAACATAGTATTTTCGAATTGAGTGGTCCAAGAACTGCATATAATATGGCATATACAGTGTCTCGAAAACCGGGATTTAATTGCTTATTTCTCATATATGAATAATAATAGGAAGATTTCATAGCTTCCATCTGATAGATTATGATGTTTTTTTCTTTCTTATGATGCCAAGGTTGTTATATTTTCCTTCACAGATAACCGAGTTCTAAGAGATTTAAGTGACCATGTCAGAAATGGGTTTGTGCCACTTTTTCTTACATGAATGACTGAACAATGAGAGATTAAAATGGTTATATTCTGGCAGAAAGTTCAAAGCTAATCGTTTTCTTCGGATTACAATGTTTTTTTAACTTTTCAGCATGAATATAGGGTTGGGACCTCAAAACCACGGAATGCCGGAGCGGCACCCTTGGGCAACTCTCTACAAACCATTTCTTATACCCCCCTAAGAAAATCTACTGGGGGTACTATAAGACACCTTTATATATCAGACACTAATAAAGATATAGACTTGAAATTTTCAGGAATTAGTTTAAGTATGATGCTTAATCTGTATGGTGAAAATCAAGAAAAAATCTTAATCCGTTACTATAGCAACAGTAATAGATCACTATTAGTTACCTTAGAAATGTATTATTTTGTGGGTTTTCAGCATTTTCTTCATATTCTTGATTCTTAAACTATCGTAAACTATCTGAAGCACATAGCATGATTAGAGGTGAAGATAAAATAATTCATCATATCATTTGTGTAATATGTCTAACATTTCAGTTGCTATGGCAACATCACTTGATAATCAGGTTCTTACATTTCACTTTCTTTAATGAGTATAAAGGTGGTCCAAAATAACACTTTTTCTAAAGGTATGTTCTCTAGGTAAAGAAGCTCTTTTAGAAATAAATAGACACTTGAATTTGTTAAAAATGTATAACTTTGAGTTGTAGAACCCCTCCCCACAGCCCCAAAAATGTGATGATTGGTGAAAACTGGCAAAAAAACTTCATTTTCTAGGTTCAAATTAAAAATGCATTGGGATGCAACACTTATTAGTATTCAAGGAACATCTACTGACTTTGTTTAATATAACAATATGAAGATTTTAATTATTAGATGATGGGAAGTATTTTATTTGAAACATTTTAGAATCCTATCCCATAAAAAATGTTGAAAAGAGGGTGTGGTCAATTTTACCATTTCGCAGCATTTAAAGTTAGAAATATATACAAACCAAGGCATTAAAACATCTTCAAATGTTAAGTTTATAGGACACTATATTTTATATGTTAATCTTGTATTTAGTACAATTCTGAAATCCAATGCAATCATACAGTGGAGACTAGCAAGGTTTGCATACAATCCAGACATTGGAATCCTTTACAACCCATTCAGCAGAATCATTTACAATTTAGAGCCAGGGTTTTGAAAACTAGCTAAAATGTTTATTATTGAAAACAACTAAAGATGACTTTCCATTGGTCAACCAAGCAGCAATATGCATTAAGTCTTACCAGGTTTGCCATTGCTCACAGCTGCAAGTGTGACGTGTGAACAGTTGCCGCCAACATTCGGTTCTCAACATTCGTGGTTAGATCATCAACTTGCCACTAACTCCAGAAACCACTTACTCAACATGCAATATACCAAAGATGCCACCTCACACAAGCACACTCACTCACCCAAAGATGCCACCTCACACGAGCACACTCACTCACCCAAAGATGCCACCTTACACGAGCACACTCACTCACCCAAAGATGCCACCTTACATGAGCACACTCACTCACCCAAAGATGCCACCTTACACAAGCACACTCACTCATCCAAAGATGCCACCTTACACGAGCACACTCACTCACTCAAAGATGCCACCTTACACAAGCACACTCACTCACCCAAAGATGCCACCTTACACAAGCACACTCACTCATCCAAAGATGCCACCTTACACGAGCACACTCATTCACCAAAAGATGCCACCTTACACAAGCACACTCACTCACCCAAAGATGCCACCTCATACAAGCACACTCACTCACCCAAAAATGCCACCTTACACGAGCATACTCACTCATCCAAAGATGCCACCTCATACGAGCACACTCACTCACCCAAAGATGCCACCTTACACAAGCACACTCACTCACCCAAAGAAAGATGCCACCTCACACGAGCACACTCACTCATCTAGAGATACCACCTTACACAAGCACACTCACTCACCCAAAGATGCCACCTTATACGAGCACACTCACTCATTCAAAGATGCCACCTTACACGAGCACACTCACTCACACTAGCTAGCTACTTTCCGACACCTGGCTCTGATGCTTCATGGTTTTATAAGGATTCTATGTATATAGTCACATGATGAGAACTAAGAGCTTTTTGCTTGTTGTGAATGACCCAGCTGAACAGCCTGGCTGTAACTGCCTGTAAGGAGTCTTGAAAATTTGAAGACATCATCTTTAGTGATTGACATTAATCTTTTTAGCTAGTTTTCAAACACCTGGCTCTGACGCCTCATAACTTTACAAGGACTCTACTATTTGTTCAGATGATGAGAACTACCTGTAAGTGTTTTATATAACAGAAACTTTTGCCATGATTTGCACATTGACGGCCAAAATGACTGACCCAACACATCAGGATACAACTGTGCATGATGACCACCAACACCTGACTAATGAGATGATATGCTTATATGCGTTGACTTGATACCAATGTCCAGATTAAGCCAACCTCTCTATTATATGGTTACACTTCATTAGATGTCATTATGATACATGTACTAAATATTAAACTTACATATAGAATTGTACTTGTGCAAGATAACAACCACAGTCTGATTGCTCGGATGAGGAAAATTAATGCTTATAATATTTATACATTATGCCAATGTCTAGACTATGCCAACCTCTATTGTAAGATTACATTAGATTTCATTATGATACACGTACTGTATATCTATATAAAATATACATACAGAATTGTACTCATTCATGATAACCATCAAAGTCTGATTGCTCAGATGAGAAAAACCAAATGTTGTAATATTTAGGCATTATGCCAATAACTAAACTATGCCAACCTCTCTACTGTATGATAACACTAAATGTCATTATGATACATATACTAGATATAAAACTTACATATTATATAGAACTATACTCATTCATGATAACCATCATAGTCTCATTGCTCAGATGAGAAAAACTAATGGTTGTAATAATTAGACATTATGCCAATGTCTAGACTATGCCAACGTCTCTACGGTATGATAACATTAGACTTCATTATGATTCATGTACTAGATATAAAACTTAAATATAAAAAAGTGCAGTCTCCTATATGCTAGATTATGGTAATGAATGAATTACAATGGATATGTTTTAAATGCATTGATCTTTTGTCTAATGAATGCTGCTAAATGATAAAATTGACCACAACCATATTTTAACATTTTATGGGCTAGTGTTCTAAATTATAAATACTTTCGAGTGTCAAATAATTAAAATCTTCATATTGTAATATCAAGCAAAGTCAGTAGATGTTTTTTGGATACTAATTGATGTTGAATCCCAATGCATTACGAATTTGAACCTAGAAAATTGAATGTTTTTTGCCTGTTTTCCCCAAATTGTCAAACTTTGGGGGCTTTGGTAAGGGAGTAAGATAAAGTTGTAGAATTTTATTTGACTATTTACTTCAGAAGAAACATGGTTTCATCTTTAAGGTACATTATGTTCCAAAAGTTATTTTGGACCACCTTTATACTCATTAAAGAAAGTTAAATGTAAGAACCTGATTATCAAATGATGTTGCCATAGCAACTGAAATGTTAGACATATTACACAAATGATATGATGAATTATTTTATCTTCACTTTTAATCATATTTATGTGCTTCAGATAGTTTAAGAATCAAGAATATGAAGACAATTATGAAACCACACAAAATAATGCATTTTTAAGGAAAGAAATAGTGTTCTATTACTGTTGCTATAGCAACGGATATATATTTTTTCTTAATCTTTGTCATACAGATCAAACATCATACCAAGAATACTTCCTGAAAATTTCAAGTCAATATCATTATTAGTGTCTGAGATATAAAGGCGTCTTATAGTACCCCCAGTAGATTTTCTTAGGGGGGTATGAGAAATGCTCTGTAGAGAGTTGCCCAAGGGTGCCGCTCCGGCATTCCGTGGTTTTGAGGTCCCAACCCTATATTCATGCTGAAAAGTTTAAAAAACATTGTAATCCGAAGAAAACGATTGATCCTCAAAATACCCCATATTTCTTCCGGACTATTATGCCAGGATGGTTATTTGGGGTTACCTCGTCAAGGATAAAGTCTACATAACATCATCAAGAGGCATTGATGATCTAAGGGACATGATTGTTGCAGCAGTAGAGATTCTAAGGGGACAGAGAGACATAATCAGGGATGCAATATGTGCGATGAGGTCTAGGGCAGACATCTCCATTAAAGGAATGGGGGTCGTGTTAAACACTGGGGTTAAAACAACGTTGAATGGACATTGGAAATTAAAAGGGGTGTAATGATAATGTGTAACTTTAATTGGAAAAAATGTGTAAAAGAGTTATATCCTGATGTTTTTTGTTACTAATTACTATGAACATAACTATGGTGGTGAAATTGACTTGGCTGAAAGTGGCACAAACCCATTTCTGACATGGAAACTTAAATCTCTCATTGCTCAGTCATCTGTGGAGGAAATGGAACATCTTGGTATCATATAAAAGAAAACATAATGGCACAAATTATGGTACCTGCGAATCTTCCCTAACATTATTCATCTTTGAGAAATTAGCAATTTAATCTTGGTTTCCTTTTTTGACACGCCCTGTAGAACAACAACCATAGACATCTGCATTTGTATGGCAAGTTGAAAACTTGTAACACAGTCACTGTCACTGATGGAGGTCAGAGAGGTCAGGAGTGACCAATCAAATCACTTGTTGTCATAAAATTTTGAAGAAATTTGGGAATGCAACTTGATACCAGTCAGTCGAACTCGAATCAAGACGGCAAGTTTTTGAAAAATTTTGTTGTCAACCTATTAATTTTAGATTCAGCTTACCAATACTTTTCCTTATGCCTATGTTTTAACTGCCAATTGAAAACTGAACTCTCCCTATCATGTGAAAAGTTTTTTCAATGAAGGAAAAAGGGTTATTCCCGTCTAATTTGGGTGTAATTTTTGGAACACTCAGTATAATGTGAATAAACTACCTGCATTCCATTGATTGAAGAGGAATCTTCCAGTTTCATGTAATGATAATTGTTGCATTTTTGTATTTCGGAATAATACATTAAACTTTAAGCAGAGCCTCGACTATACACCGAGGAGCAAAGAAGGTACACATCAGAATAATGTTACGGAAGCCCTATTATATCCAATAATCTGTTTTCAGCAATAAATCGTGGAGTTGGTGCTGGCAACGGAGTACAGCATGATGTGAGCGACATTGGTGTCGGTGAGTAAACTGATGAATATACCTAAAATTATTCACAAACATGTAATATTAGGGTTTTATGGGTTTTGGATATTGAATTAGACAAGATATTATATATCTTGAGAGTTACCCCCATATAACTACCAGCATTGCATAACTAATTTAACATATACCTATTGACTTTCAAATTTAAAACATATTTATCATTCAGGGCAAAGGGCCGTGAGTTGTTTGTAAAATGAATCGGGGGAGTTTTTTTATGCATTTCGCTTGTGTTTTACATCTAAAAACACCAACACGCTTTAAAACATTTTATTGACTATAAGATTGCACCATGTAATCCTGAAAAATATTTCTCAGTTCAAGGATTATTTATGGATTAATACCCAGGTATTTTTAGTTTTCAAACTTCAGAGGGCGGTGAATCATTGATTACGAATGCTTTTGAATAATATAAATGCTGTTTTAAATAGGTTTCATGTGTACCAATAATTTCTCAAATTGTGTAAATGTTACCTATTCCTTAATTCCTAGAATTTTCACTTTGAGGGATTTCCCATAGCAATGGCATCGTTCCAAGCAGATTTTGAGATAACAGGAAACTTTATCATTAATACACACCTCATTGGGTTATGGTAGAAACCGAAACAACCCAATAAGGTGTGTATTATTGATTAACTTTAAAATTAACAATATTTCGTCTGATTTTTTCGCTGTCTGTCATTTAAAAGGTAACCCCTAAAGGCAACCTTCTGGCGAAGTTTTCGACAAATTATCCATCAACAGCATATCAGCAACGTTAATTTAACCAGTGTGTTGAAGGATACAAATCATATGGACACAAGATACATTATTTGTTATGTTTTCTGAGTTTGTATATGCAAACTTTGATTTTTGTCTAAAAAATCATCGTTAAAGCTGTTTTTAAAAATAAATTAGCAGAAAAAATTGGGCACAAAAAAACTTTTTAAAGGCCCGTTTTTATGGCCCTTTTTGGCAAAATTGGGGCTTTGAAGCCCTTGTATTTAATATAAGGCCAAATTATCATGAAAATTAGCCTTGAATTTTCAAACTTTGGGCCTACTTTTTGGTTTTAGGATCCCGGAATTCAAATATGCCCCCCCCCCTTGTTGGTTCCTGGATCCGTCCTTGACACATTAAGTTGTTGATATTAACACACATGGCACAGGCTTGGGTAGAATAACAGAATTTGACTATATTTTACTATATAAAATATCAATTATCGTAAAGGATAGGTATCGATATGGTGAACTGAATTCAACAATGTTTTTCTCTTAAACCAATTATTGGAAACATTCTGTAAAAAACACGGTCCTTTTTGTAATGTTGACGTGATTGGCAACAATTTAATGCAAAAATGTTTTATATACATTTTATATAACTGTTTTTGTTAACATTTTTTGTTTTTAGTGCAATTGTTTTTTGTTCCTTTCTACCAATTCTTGAGAATGAAATAAAATGTCTTTCCGAACCTCGTTGGAACAAAATAGCATAAACAACATTTTCTTAGACCTCTCATTATTACAGTTATACAAAGGAAATTTTGGTTGATTGAACAAAAAGTATGCAAAAACAAAACCCCACAAAATAGATAAAAAATAAGATAAACCTTTTATTTCATTAACAAGATATAAAATCAACCAAACTTTATTTTGTACAATTACAAAACCCCCTGGGGTGTCAAAGCCCGTATAGTATTGTAAATTTTGTAATGAAAACTGAAATAAATTATTTTGAAATTGAATTGAATTGAAAACTGAGAGACCTAAACACATTGTGTTTATGTCGTTTTGTTCCATTGAGGTTCTGATAGATGTTTCATTTCATTTCGAACATATGATACCAAGAACAAAAGAAGTGTCCGATGTGTTTTCTAAAACAATATAGAGAAAAGGATATATATATATTTCAAATTATAATGTTACCATCCAAAAGATGACGATTAAATTGACAATGTGACAACATTTTCAGAATGCTTTGATGACTGGTTTAAGAGAAACGCGTGTTCAAAAAGTTCACCATATCGATACCACTCCTTTGCCCTTCAAGGCTACTGAAAAATTGTAACAGAATCAGAGATGGGGGTGACATAATTGGAAACAACATGTTCAGCTGATCTACTTATTTACTCTTATCCATCTCACTATTCCTCAACATACTGTATCAGTAAATAATTGATTGTATTTTTTATGATTACTATATCGAGTATTGCTCTTTTTTTGTCTATTTCTTATAAGATACAAATGCATTTTTCAGAATGCACTCCCGGTGTACCATTCAGGTATGCAGACTCAAAGTGCAATTATTTGAAGTGCAAAGATAATATATATGAAGTGGAAATATGCCCGGATTCCATGGCTGTCATTGACAGTTTAAAAAAGGATGACGTAGCAACTGTAAACCCCTGTTCCAAACCTGACCCGGACTGTAAAAAAACGTTAGAGCAAAAAGGTCTAGGTATGTTGAGCGCATGAATTGATGCGTCCATTGAATATGTGAGAGAAATCAAGAGTAGGCCTATTGCTTGGTTAAATCTTTTATATAGGCCTACTTCTGTTCTCATTAAACTTACCAAAAAATCTAAGTATTACCCACAATGCACCGGCTATACTACAGTATTTTTAAACTGATATTAACATCCAATATCTTTGAGTCGTATGGTTACCCAAAGTTACAGGTAATCTAGAATTATCAACCAAGCTTAGGGCTTTTGCACTTTTAGAACACCCATGAAAAATTGTTCCTTCATTGTTCTCCAGACGACACTTTCTTTCTCTTTCAAAATGGCCGACAAAAATCGACTTCTTAAACATTTTGTTTTCATCGGTTTAAACATTCTTATTGATACTGTGCAATGGCTATAGCTTTACATCGAAATGATTGTTGAGCATGTAATACACATTCAAATCATATTCGAATTCATTTTTAGGCGACCAGGATGTACAAGCTTGTGGACTTGATCTAAACTTGATAATAGATATGTCAATTTCCATCAGCGCTATAGATAAAGTGAAAGTAAGAAGCTTTATTTTGAAGCTTGTGAAAAGTCTTCGACTTGGAGATGCATTTACATTGGTGTCAGGATCAACTTATGGATCTGAAGTCCACCCATTTCTTAAATTCAACACGTACAATACGGGTACATCGGTAAGTCTGATATTCGACTAACTTAAATACGCTTATATCACGAGGGATGATCAATGGGTATTTCGAAACTCGCTTACCAGTTTTTCAATACGTATGAGAACTTCATACCTTGGTAATCAATAATATGATTATTATATCTATAGGATTGAGGTCCATGGGTAACCCAAGATGTAAAATCTGTTTTGAAGTCAAAGCGACTTGCAAGATTTACTAGCGCAATTCCTAATTTTAATGAAGGCTGTAATGTAGCGGGTACCCAGGGACAGAGAATAATTGATATTTAGCTAATATGGCATATTTGACATAAAATATAGCCTCATAACAAATAATTCCCTACAAACTGTTTAGGATTAGATATACTGTATATGCACCTTAATAAGGATGAACCATTTAAACCATTCGTCCTTCATGAAAGTACAATGCGGGTCAAAAACGCTCGATATATAGCTTCTCTGAAAATTTTTCTTATGAAATGTACTTTTCTGGTTTCTTTGAGAAACCTTCCTCCCCAGTGGTGTTGAGGTCATTTAAAAGTAAAAGTTGCAGTTGCACGCCCGGTGACCGTACAAAATGGATGAAGGGAGTAGTAGGCGATTTCTGATAGGTATAAGGGACGTTATTATCACAACACTAATGACATTGCTCACTTTTTAAAATTAGTTTCTATCATGCGTTATACAAAAAATAATCGAAAGAAATTAATATTGGATGGAGGGGGAGTGGATGTATGTACGAGGGAAGATCCAAAAGTTTCCGGCCTAACATAGTTCTAGTTGATTGATTTTCAAAATGATAGTGACACGTCGCACGAAACTGGGGACAATTAGAGTAACATTATGGCGTCAAAATACCAAAACAATACAATATAACGTCAAAAACGACAAGCGTTACATTTTGTCAAGTTTAGTCAACCTAAAAATAAGATGCTTTATTCTTATTCAATCCTGGTGAAATTCACAGAGCAAGAAGATCTCGAGGACAATATTTCTAAAATGTTTTTGATTTTTGAAAAACGGTCAGGAAATCCACTCGGGGCGTTAGTAAAAATTGATATGTATGGGATTTATGGTAAAAAATCGATGCGTTACATTTTTTCAAGTCTCTAAAAGCAACTCTTATTCTCTTATTATTTGAAAAATAAAGAAATCGGTTATTGTTTTGTAAATTTCGCCATGACAATATTGTGCAGTTACATTTTTTTTGAAATCAGACCTAAATTAGTGGGTTAAATAAAGGTAAACTTATTGCTTGTCTCCCTCGCCTTCAAAACCTTACACAATTTTGAAAATCTTAAAAGCGTTCATATAAGACGATTTGAACTGTAGCCGCTAAGCAATTGTGACGTCATAAAAGCACATGTTTCAATGAATAAAATGTGAAATTTTAGTAAAATTCTGATCAGTATTTCAAAAGTTATCCTGATTTCAACGAACCGTGTAAGCGTGAAATGTTACGCCTTACAGCGTATTTGACGATGTCGGAGTACATTTAACTTAAAAAATATGGTAGATCCCATCACACTTTTCAAGGAAAAATAATTTCAGTGAAATGCGAATAAAAAATACTTAAAAATGATATATAATGCATATAGTTATCTTTTTAAATAAGGCAGATATTAACGCTTAAAGCTGAGATTAGCCCGTATTTCCCGAATTGTCCCCAGGACCGTGCACGTCATAAGTGTCATTTTTCAATGTAGTCTCCCTGTACTTCGATGCACTTGGCCCATCTTCTTGGCAGCATCTCAAGTCCAGTTCTGAAGAAATCAGGAGCATGACCCTCCAACCACTGGTTAACAGCTATCTTGACCTCATCATCATCATCATCAAAGCGTTGCCCTCATAGAGATTTTTTGAGTTTCCCAAATAGGTAATAGTCACTGGGTGCTTGATCTGGAGAATATGGTGCGTGCGGTAATAATTCCAGATGGCATTCTTCCGCTGCATCACGAGTAACTTGGCTTGTGTGGACAGGTGCATTGTCCTGTTGATGCAAAACTCCAAGACGGACTTTGTGTGGCCTGGTTTCATCAAGTTTAGCTTTTAAAGTACGCAACAAAGCAGCATAATATTCTCCATTCATTGTAGTACCTCTTGGAAAGTAGTCTACTAAGATAGGACCTTCACAGTCCCAGAAAATGGTGGCCATCATCTTTTTGTTGGATGGGGTGGTGCGAAACTTCTTTGGAGGTGGGGACCCCATATGTTTCCATTGCATCGACTCATGTTTGGTTGAAGGCTCAAAATGACGCACCCATGTTCCATCACAAGTGACTATTCTCTCCATAAAACCTTGTGGATCAGTGTTATACAAGTCCAAAAGCTCTCTTGCAACAGCAACTCGTTTTGTTTCCATGTCCTCTGTGAGCATACGGGGCACCCATCTTGAGCTTAAATTTTGCATGTGTAAATCTTCATGAATTATTCTACAAACGGTACCATATGATAATCCAGTTTCTTCTACAAGTTCACGTATATATTTCCGCCTATCTTCCAATATTGTTCGAAGTACAAGATCAACATTTCTAGCTGAAGTGACATCTTTCGGTCTTCCAGAACGTGGTGCATCATCAATTGATTCCCGTCCACGTTTAAATTCAGCCATCCAAAATTTTACAGTAGAATAGGAGGGAGCACATTCCCCATACACATCCTTAAGTCTATCGTAGATTTCCTGCCCTCCATTTTCTTCCTGATATAGAAACTTTATCACAGCTCTATATTCAGTTTTCTCCATTGTGATCACTGATGTGCAGCCACTGTGACCTGACCTCATTATGAATATTCTCAAAATGAGGCTGTGACCCCTAGAGGTTAATCATATGCATAAATTATGTTCATACATAAGCAACATTTGAACTGTGAAGAATGGTTGCTCTCAGACATCGGGAACTACTAGTATGTTAGGCCGGAAACTTTTGGATCTTCCCTCGTATATCAAAAGCTTTTATTGTATATCGTGTGTCCCAAAAAGGTGAGACACTTTTGACAAATATTTTCTAAGCAATAGATAAGCCAAATTCTTTGGAAATTTTTATTGAGGAGCTATAGGATGTCATTAGCAGGTGCTCTAAATATAAGCCTTATCGCTTTCGAAATTTTGGACAGAACTTCGAAAATGAATTTGATTGATTTATTGCGGAGAAAAGGTATCTCATTTTTGGGACGATATCATCGTCATCTTTGATTGATAGTTGAATAAATGAAGTATGACTTGCGAAAGCATCAAGGCGATTGGTCAATTAAAAGTGTCTGTGACAAACGTGCTTCACTTATTGATCAACACTCTGATAAATGATGTGAAATACCAATAAGAAAAATACTTGTTTCAATCTAAAAAATATGGCAATAGTGTATTCAAAGTTGTCTCATGATTTCAGAGGTAGATATACTGTTTGATTAGCTATACTCGTGTAATCTTGCTTGGTTGGGATAATTTTCTCCTTTGAGTACTATATTTGCTCACGTTTGATAAATGAGCTATATAAAGGCATTAAACACATAAAATACAACTATTTTAAAGACGATTGTCTCAAGACCCAGTTTGATTAATTTTTGCAACTAACGGCAATAGGTTAAAGACCAAAGAGAAATACGATATACATGAAACACAGCAAAAAGAAACATCTTAGAGCAGAACCTGATTTGCAAAATCTTTATTTTTAACTATTCTCTTTTCATTTTATTCGTATTCATTTTTGCCATTCGTATGTAGATTCTACAAGCAATAAGGAAAATGGAAATGAACCCAAAGAAGGGAACAGCTACCTATCTTGCTTTACGAGAGGCCAGAGAACAGTTAACTACTGAATTTGGACGTAGACCAGACAAAAAGGTAGGAATTCAATTTTTCTATCTGTCTACCTATTCGATAGCATCACGATAGCAACATGTACACGTACCAAATTATCACGATGGCAACACGTACCAAATTATCACGATAGCAACATGAACACGTACCAAATTATCACGATAGCAACATGTACACGTACCAAATTATCACGATAGCAACATGTACACGTACCAAATTATCACGATGGCAACATGTACACGTACCATATTATCATGATGGCAACATGTACTCGACTACTCGTACCAAATTAATGGTTGAGCAAACGAGGCTCAAAAGAATGTTTGACTTGCACTTCATCACACATATGTGAAAATTTTTTGGGAGTTTTTTGAGGCAATATTGTTCCACGAATGCACCCAAATAAATGCACCCGATAAATATATTTTACATATAACAACCGAGGAGGCTAGAGAATCTTGATATACAACCGCATCTCCATATCTTAGGGAAATTTCAAATAAAATGATATTGACATATAGATTTAGTTTAACACTTGATTTCTCTTCATAGGGTCCTTCATTGTTCCAGATTACTTTGAACAAAGTTTGAAACCATGCATTTTTGTGATTCAAGCGACAACGATGAATTAATAATAAATATAATGAGAATTTTTCTTTATTCTTCAAAAATTAATTCTTTTAAAACAAAATGGCGATCCAATAAACCCTCTTCGTAAGTAGGCTATACCATCTTGAGCGACTTCCCTCCCTTTTCGAATAGTATTTTTTGGACAAAATGCGAAATAATTATTTCATGAATTGGGGAGCTCTCGTTTGCAGTTTGCAGATCTATAACACTGTATACTTTGTTTAAGGCTGCTTCCATACTGGTGACAGATGGCGTCACTAACCCATTTGACAAGTCACCTGAGACTATAGAGGAAGCCAAGAAATTGAAAGACCCAAAGAGTTACGAAAAGGGAGTTTCCCCACCAACTGTATTTTTGATAAAAACTCCAAATAATAAATCTACGGGCAGCGTTTCAGCGGCAGAGAAGGCCAAGTTGGACGAAATCATGGAAAAGGAATTTGCAGCGATACCATCACCAGGCGCGGAACATCTTATTAAACTCGACAGTTTCGAAGACCTCGAAGGAGTAATTGCTCCTATTCTCCGATCATCGTGCGAGGATTTATAATAACGCTATACTTTCACTTCTATCAATAAAATGATAATGCAACTTCCATGTTATGTTGATCTTGTTTTTATTTGCATGGTTCAATACGCGGTGGCATGTATAATTTTGGGCAAGTGTGGGATCATGACATCTTACCAAGATATATCAAGACTTTTGCACAATCATATTTTTGAAAATCAAAACAGCCCGACGCAATATCTAATTCAAACATTATTTACTGGATGAGCGTGGTGTAACTTTTGTTTTGAAAATTATGTCAGTAAGTTGTTTAACTTTACTAGCACCATCTATTAAATATCTGATAGAATGAAGTCGGGTAATCTAGAAAAAAATATTCTACGTCATTTTTCTCATACCATGAGAAATATGTTTATTCAACTTTCATATGTTTGTACCTTGACTGAAAAAAAAACAGTTTTAACATTTCTTGGCGATCCATACAGATATTACAAGCGGCGACCTGGCCAAAAAAGTGAGAAATTTTGTGCCTCAATCTCACGATTTGAAAGAGATTCTGGCCATGGTTAAGTATCAAAATAAGCACTTGGGGAATCAACTGAAGTTAAAAAATAAGGTGAAATACACACCAAATCAATGATTACGACCAAATAAAAATCGGAGTCAAAACCGGAAGTCAAAAGAGTTTTAGTCTAATAAATTATGAAATAATTATGAATGATAGTACTCACTGTGATATTTTTGTGGCTTACGATTTTACATTGATCCTGAGAATACTGTTACAGATTTGTAGATTTTGAAGGGAGGGGGGTACTATGAAAGAAAAGTGTACAATTCTTAGAATACCCGTCTAATTAGTTAATATTTACATGTAGTTATCTACTTGATATGTCTGGTACGTATGGCAAGTAAATGATTTGATCCCGTGAATAAACATAATGATTTTCTGATTGGCATATTATTCTCGAGGTTAAACTATGAGTAAAATACACATTTCTGCCGAAATCATGCCTTACCGTTTTCGCAAAAATGTGTTACGCGGTAAACACGATTCAAATATATGTCATATTCCGTGACAAATATGGCATATTCACTTGCGGTGCATGACAGATTCACCTCCGGTTTATGGCATACACACTAACCAATGAGAACGCGATACGGAAGTACGCAATTGTCAATTACATCGATTCAACGAATGTGCTTTAAAGTAATTCAAGTGCGTGTATTAAAGTGCATTGAATATATCAACTAATACAATTGAATATCATAAACCAGTACGGTACCTGTATTGTTAGATGTTGTATTGTGTATGTGTGTACACATCAAATCGAGACTTTCTGTATCACGTTTTCACCTGCGGTGTATGACATATTCCACAGTTGAGTATACCATATTCCACAGGAGAGTATGACATATTTCGCAGTGAGTATCGGGTATTCACTGAAATCAATATATCGGAAGGACTTTTTGATAATAAAAATCGTAAATTTGTTTAAAACTTTCTTTCAGAGGTCACACATATCTTTAAATAAGCGATGGTACACTAATATCTAAAATTCTTCCCTATAATCTGGTTAGATGTCTAATTGTAATCAACGTTGGTTTATTTTTACTCTAAGCGTTTCCTCCACCCCCTGATTCTATGACTGATATATCGATGTCTATCTGATCATAAATATATCAATATAATATTCAATTAGTATAATATTCAAATATGGCAATGATATAAAATGTATCCATCATCAACATTAGACCGAGAACATCTTTAACAACGTCATCTTTTCTGAAAAAATTAATAAAACACGGTAAATGATAAATGTATTAATAACATACTGTCGTATTAGATCAGTTATCATGTTAGATAACGTACATGATTAAATAATAAAACTCCAATACCAGTCTATTTATATGAATTATAAAATGCCGCGACGATCGAGCAAATATTTGGTACCTATCAAACCCTTTTAAGGGATTTTGAATAAATATATATTCAAGATGAATACGTAATAACATGACAAAATGCATAAAAAGTTTTAAAAATCTATAGCGCTGATGGGCTTAAAACAGTATCGCAAAATAAATCAACGATTTGTTATAAATACTGGAGATTGGCATGAGGTCTTTCACTTTTCAATTTCTTCTTGAACTAATTTGACGAACAAAGAACAACTACTGGAGAATTGAGGGACGGGGAGCTTCATCTTAAAGCAAAGGGGTAAGGAAAGCAGAAATAAATTAGTTCTATTTTACAATCTTCATGTCTACGTTTTGTATATTAATTGAATATATTCTAAAATTACGAAATATATTTCATTCAAATATGGTATTTAACTTTTTCTTACACATAGTTTTACGAGATCCTCGCTCAAAAAAAACACTTAGCCAGGCGAGCAAGCCCCAAACGTAAGCGTGAGCGTGGCACTTCTCAATTGGATCACGGGTAATAATCAGATTTCTAGCTCGAAAACATTCTCTGTTAAGTTTTAATTGGGATTGAAAGCTCAGAGAAAAGCATGTTTCGTCACATTTGAAAACAAAATTTGGGGGTTGGTGTCCATCTTTTTTCAAAACTAAATTACTCCATTTCTTTTTCAAATGTAGCTTGGACCATATTTTTGACTCAACCCATTGCATATACCTTTTGCAGTTAAATTATCAGATCGATCTTTTGAGTAATAGATGTTATAAAATCTACGCTTAATACACTGTTCCACAACTAGTAACGTTGACGGATCGTCACTGTAACAAAATGGATGAACTTCCTGGTTACGTGTTTTTTCTTTTCTCGATTTAAAGTCAAGTTGCAGATTATAATTTGGCACAAAGCTAGATAATATAGTTTAGTTTTAATATGTTTCTTCAATTTGGAATTTGTTTTGTAACTGAAGTTGCAATTCATATATCTAGCACCTCGCTTTTGCTACATCGACGTTATAATACCAATGTGTGTTTCTTTGACGACTTACGTCAATGTTACAAAAGGGATGGTCTAAATGCATGAAATGCTTTATTTAAAAATCAAATTCCAAACCGAGAGCATTTCTAAAAGCTAGACTATATTATGGAACTATTATCTAAAGTCTTAATTTCTTGAAATTTATTCACACCGAACCTTAAAAAAACCGAACCTAAAAAAAACGAAATATGACTTATTGAATCGGTCATGAAAAACGAAGGTATTGTTGAGAATGTCATCACCAACAAACAAAGATATTGCATTGTACAATTGCGTTTTAGATATGGGGAGTCAAATCTTATGTGTATTCACATTGCTATTGTGCGCCTCGAGGACCGATGGTGCAGGCATAAAGTCCTTTGGTGAGCATGTTCAAAATGATTAAAATGTTTGAAAAAGTTGTTCACAATAATTGTCATTTTCGTATTTTCAAACTTTCAAATTGAAAATGAGACATGTAATTTCAACCTAAAGGAATTGATGTTCCCAGTGTTTATTCAGAAGTCTACTATTTGTTTCTGCTACTAGTTGTTGTCCCATTGATTGACTATGGTGTAATGTTTCAAAATCAATGATGCGCTCTTTATAGAGTTCTTTGCTGTTCTAGAAGTCCACAGAAATGTGTATCTTATGTTTATCGAGATCTGATTGGCAGTCATTTTTGCAACTTGTTTACATTTTGTTTACAATAATACTAAGAAATTAGAATGTTCTACAGAGTCACATAACATGTTTATATCTTATTTGCATCTATTTTTAGTTCATCTCAGTCACGAGTGAATGACTCATTAGTCTTCGTTGAAAAAAACAGGAGATTTTTAGAACATTGTGACCTTGAGCATGTAAATAATAAACAATAATATGAATTATGAATGAAATGTGAATTATAAATCGTAACTAAACATATATTACAATACCCCCTAATCAGTTATGTATTCCGTAGTAATGCCAACACATCTACAGCTTGGATAAGATGTTATGTTATATCTATTTCTGGTGTCAGTTCTAAAGTTACGAGCCGAGTCAGGAACAAACATAGCTCTTTATGTTATAAAAGGTATTTTTATTCCGTTTTTAGCGGGCAGCGTTGGAGGTAGCAGAGTTGGAGGCGATCTCTTTAGTGATGTGAGAGACATCGGTGTCGGTGAGAAAAAACATACATTGTTTAGCAGTATTCTAAGATTTAAAGGTCTATTGGGGTTGACAAAATAACAATGTATAATTGCATTGGTCCTAACGATGTCAAATATCTCCAAAAACGGATCCGCGACATGTTATTTTTAAAAATAACATGAACAGAGATCAAGGGAACTATAATTTGGCGGGAATTTGGAATGAATTTTTGGGGAATAAATATGACGTAATATTGTTTTTATTTATCTATTTTTTTAGCGCTACAGTTCAGTTTTTATTACAGTTGAAAAGGATCCAGATGATCCAATTTCTTTAACACCGGCTACGTTCGAAAATTACATTGTTGAAACTTCAAGATGCCATATGTTTATCGTATGTTTATTGTTCATGTATTTAATTTATCTGATAAATATGATTAGGATTTGTGGCTCAAAAATAAAAGAAAAACAAAATGAAAAACTGACAGGCAAGTTTCGAACCGACACTCTCGGGGTGGACAAAATCAAAACTCAAATCAAGTCCAAAGCGTTATTCACTGAGCAAATCAGAATGTGCGTTTTATGCTGCGGTTTTTGTATTTATAAATAACCTCAATAAATTGACTCTGGTCATAGAATAGTAGGTTAATCCGGTAGCCGACAGGTGTTAGTTGCATTCGCGAATACAAGGTTAACTTAATCAATTATCTAGCCGATGTGAATGGATTATATGCTATGCTGTACAGTAAAATACCTGCAAAGCGGTGCAGAAAAAGGTGTCTATTAGCTTGTATTCGCGAATTGCAAATAGCGGCTATCGGCTACCGATGACGCTATTTAGATCAGCTATTGCTTTTGAGGCGAAAGTTGGCAACTAACGGGATGCACCGCAGGTTCCATTCATATTTAAATGAGTTTGGCATCTAATTGCAATCAACCCCGGTAGCCGATAGCCGCTATTTGCATTTGCGAATCCAAGCTTACTTTGTATTCGCGAATGCAACTAGCGCCTGTCGGCTACCGGATTAACCTACTTTTCCATGACTAACTCATTTAAATGGGAATGGATTAGTGGCAGGTACTATTCATGTTTAAACGAGTTGGCCATGAACTAGTAGGTTAATCCGGTAGCCGACAGGCGTTAGTTGCATTCGCGAATACAAGGTTTGTCTGAGAAAACATACCCCCATTCCACAACTGTCTGTAATTGAATTTGTATTCGCAAATTCATCTAACGCCTGTCGGCTACCGGATTTACCTGCAATTTTATCGGCAACTCATTTAAATATGAATAGTACCTACCACTATCAATTCATACTTAAATGAGTTGGTCATGAAATATTAGGTTAATCCAGTAGCTGACAGGCGACAGTTGAATTCGCAAATACAAGCTAAACTTGTATTCGTGAATACAAATAGCGGCTAGGGGCTACCGATTAACTCATTTAAATACGAATGAAATAGTGGCAGGTACTGTACATATTTAAATGAGTTGCCAATAAATTAGTAAGTTAATACGGTAGCCAGCAGGCGTTAGTTGCATTGGCAAATACACAGGTTAGATCCAAGGATCCAGATGTCATTTCGTTTCGTTTGGTACGCATACTAACTCCCGGGTATTAAATAAACCCTTGTTAAGGTGATTCATCTCTAACCTAGCATGTATTAACGAAGGGTTCTAGTAATTACCGTATAGTAATTGGCCATTGAAACACGTACAGTAAAATTTTGAATTTAAAAAATAAGCAATCAAATGACTATATTGCAACAGTATATGAAAAAATGGAAACATATATATGTACAAGTCCTAACTTTTGTATATTTCAGATAGTTATGTATGATATGCAGCAAAGCTGTGGCCTTTTGTAATTTAGGGAGTTTCAGTTTTCGAAAATAGCATGGCAGTGAAGCATCAAAATATAAGAGGCCACAGATATGATTGCTGAACTACAAAACAAACTAAAATATACAAAAGTTATGACAAGTATAAATGTTTCTATTTTTACATATTCTGTTTCAATATGGTGCTTTAATTGCTAATTTTTTAGATTCAAAGTAGTTCCAAACATTTAAAATTCTACTGTATACGTGCCATTTATAAGCTAAACAAAAATTTAAGAAAATCGATCAAAAATTTATTTTGCATTTTTCTTATTTTCAGTTGAACCCTACTTGAATCTGGCAAGTTCAGCAGTCTAATCTAATTACGTTTTTGCTTCAGAATGCACTCCTGGTTCACCATACAGGTATGCAGACACAAATTGCACTTATTTGGTGTGCAAAGATAACATATATGAGCTGGCAGAATGCCAGGATGCGATGGGTGTCACTAATGGTTTTAAAATTAATGACACAGCTACTACAAACCCCTGTATCCGCCCTGCCCCGGAGTGTAGAAAAACATTATCGGAAAAAGGTGTAGGTAAGTTGAGCTCATGAATTATCAAGAGTCATCTCAACCCCAAGTCAACTCAACCCAGTAAAACTCAATCCCAAGTCAACTCAACCCTGTAAAACTCAACCCCAGTAAAACTCAACCCCTATATTATATTTGTTGATAAACTTGTACTCCCCATGATATGAACGTTTATTTCATAAAAATAGTTCTGATAATTCTGAGTCAGTTTGTGATTTTCATTCTTAGACCCACCTTTTATAGTTAATAATGTGTTGTAAGCCCTCTGAGGTTGACACTCGTGTGATCATTTGGAATACTGGAACATGATCATTGCTTTTCAGTCTATAAATTAGTAAATGTTAATGATTTCAATAATGCATGTAAATATTGATCATGATAAAAAGTTATATTGTTATTGTTCATACATTGTTAATTTTCTTCTAAATTATCTAATATTTGATTTCAAAATATGTCTTAAATTAAATAATAGTGACAACTTGATGAATGATCCATGAGCTTAACTGTTTTTTGGATACTTTTACAACTTTCTATTCAAAGTACATCAAATTGAATTAGACACCCCACAAATGAATAGGGTTGAGTTTTACTGGGTTTGAGTTTGGCAGGGTTGAGTTGACTTGGGGTTGAGTTTTACTGGGGTTGACTTGACTTGGGGTTGAGTTGGACTGGCTTGAGTTGACTTGTGGTTGAGATGACCTGTCACCACATATATGAGCTTCAGAATGTCCAAATTCAATGGCAGGCACTGTGAGTTTTAAAAGAACTGACACAGACACTAAAAACCCCTGTCCCGGAGTGTAAACAACGGTAAGAGGTTTCGGTAAACAAAAGATTAAATTTTTTGATGACGCTTTCGTTTATATTTCTAATCACTTTAGATAAGATGGAGATGCTTTACAGTCTGGCATTGGTTTTATGATTTTTGAATCTCACGACGCAATTATATCTTATTCTTATGAAGACCAAAAGCCCGGTATACACCAATGGGGCAAGATCCAACTTACCCCATCGAGTCCCATCATGCCCCATCGAATCCCATGAAGTCCCATGGGACCTAAATGACTTTGCCCCATCGTGCTTCATGGAGTCCCATCGACCCCCATGGAGTCACATCAAATCGAACCGTGCCCCAGCCCCTATTGTATTGGTGTATATTGGGCTTCACACAACACGTCATATGATCGAAAATCCAACGATGCCCCATGGAAAGAATGAACATGTTCATTCTCGATTGGTCAAGATGGGACTCCGTGGGATTTTGCCCCAACTTGCCCCATCGAATCCCACGTGGGACCCCATGGGACTCGATTGGGCAAAATCCGCTTTGCCCGATCCGATTTCCCAAGAGTCCCAGAAGTCCCACGGGGTCCCACGCAATGTTAAGCTTATGGAGGTCCCAACTTGCCGCATTGGTGTATACCAGGCGTAAGGGTCAATTGATTAGAGACACACAAACAAAGAGACAAACACAATATATATCGGGTGTCTCAAAAAAATGTACCCAAAAGTATATCAAGAGCACAGATAAACAAATCAATATTTTCAGACATTTTTTGCATGGTCATGTAGCCAAAACATGAAAGTCTTCTCCTCAATAGACCATTTTTATTTCAGTCTTGTCTTTTTGATGCTTTAACCATTTACCTTTTATACCACATTATCGATGTAACCTCATATTCTGATGACAGCCTGTATCCTTACTGCTACATTGTTCATCACATTTGATAATAATTCCAGTGGAATGTTTTGGATTTCTCTTTGGATGTTGCCCTTAAGTTGTTCTAGGTCTTTTTGCTTGGAATGAGCATTAAAAGACTCCTTCAGATAGCCACAGAGAAGGATGTTTGAGGATGACGGTGACAGAACAAACACGAATAATCAGGTCAATTATCGGCAAATGATTCAGGAGTTACCTTCCAGAGTTAGGCAGGCTAGCCTGGAGACCAAATGATATCAAAATGAAAACACAGTGGTCTCAAATTGATCCACACAACAAAAGCTACACTAGAATCCCAGCCAATGCAGTTTCTTGAACCTCCGACCTCTCTGTATAAGGGGGCTATAAGACATTGTGAGGGCCTCCCTATTGACCATATTTGACGGCCCATACTTTTTTCTCTGAGGCTATTTGAAGGACCATTTTTATGCTAAACCCAGGCTAAGAGACCCATAACAACTTAAGACAAGCATCCAAACAGAAATCAAAACATTCCACTAGAAATATCAAATGTGATGAACAATGTAGTAGTAAGGATGCAGACTGTCATCGAAATATGAGGTTACATTGAATATGTGGTGTAAAAGGTAACGGGTTAAAGTATCAAAAAGGCAAAACTGAATTAAAAACTGTGCATGGGGGAAAAAACTTTCATCTTTTATCTACACGACCATGCAAAAAATGTCTGAAAATATTGATTGGTTTGTCTGTGGTGTTGATATACTTTTGGGTACATTTTTTTGAGACACCCTATATAGTCGATTTTAGATGAGTTGACATGTGGGCAATCGCCATGTGTATGTAATCTCGTCAGATTTTACATACGAAATGGGTGCTTCCGGTACTCAATTATACAGTGCGTATAAAAAAACGCAACAGATTGTTATCTCGGAAAAGCACAAAACCAGTGCAACAGCATTGATTTCATTCAAATATATTATAAAGAAATGTTTCTCCTCTTTACAATGGTATATCATTCTCTGATATTGGGTCATGGTTGGGCGAGTAATCATTCCTTTTGCAAAGTGGGTCAAAATTAGCTTGGGACCAATTTATAAACATTACGAAAGTCAGTGTACGGGGCCCAATGCAATATATACCAAATATTCCATTCTATTTTCGGTGAATACATGTTCATCTTTCCCTCAGTATATTCCCCGCAGCCCGAGTATTCCGACTCTTGCCGAAGTATTCTGACTTGGCCCAAGTACTAGTATTCTGGGTTTACTTATTTTATCAAATACACTCGATACGGTGATTTTCAATTTCTAATATCAATTTTAGGTTTCTACAGAGATGACTTGAAATTAAGCTAATGAAACCACCGTGGCTGCCTCGTTTACAAAAGGCTTTCCATTTATTCACATAAACTAATAGGGTATCCATGGGGAATGTAAAACCCCCGGTTTTTCGACTTTTGTACCATGGGACACTCCTGAGTAATAGAATATTTAGACAAAATATCTAAATATTATTAGGCTGGGTCTCAATTTCAGGAACATGCCTCATTTTTGGAAATGGGCCTTTAGAAAAAATGGGCCTCGATTTTAAAAATTGGCTCCATATTTTAAAAAATTGGGTCAAAACTTTCAACGAGCCAATATTTTAGGACTCCTTTTTTCATCCAAGCATTTTTTGAACCCTCTCTTGTGAATTATAAGATGTGATAAAATAAGCGATCTCGGAACACTTGGGTAGCCCAGAACAGTTGGGCTTCCACAAACGTTGTCACTCGTTCTGAGAATGCGGCGACCACCAGAAAATTTTGAGTATGCTCTAAGTTCTGTACGAGTACGTTCGTGAAGTTTGAAAATAGACCCCAAAATAGACCCCTTTCACTTTTAGTACGTCCAATCCGTTCATACACAGTTTAGGCCCGTTTTCTAGAACGTAATGAGAGCTAGTTTGGTGTGATAATAAAAGATTTACATTGGAAATCTTAGATTTTATTCATTGAATATCGATGATCTGATGGTATATTGAACATTGAAAACATAATGATGATGTGTTTTGTAAACTTTGATGTATACGAAATCGTACACTCAATAGGAAGATGTATATTCCCGATAGGGACGCAAATTTAAACCACTATCATTTTCAGCTGACAAGGACACCAAGGCGTGTGGTTTTGATCTATGCTTAGTAATAGACATGTCGTTTTCCATCAGTGATGTGAATAAAGTTCAAGTGAGATCCTTTGCATTGGACCTTTTGAAACTACTTCGACTCGGAGATGCATTTACATTGGTGTCAGGATCAACGTATGGCGGTCAAACCTATCCTTTCGTTAAATTCAAAACATACAACACTCCAGCTTTGGTATGTTATTCTATACTCTCAGTAAAACCAAAACCTACCATAAATGTAACCAATGTTTATATGGCCTCATATTTTTAGTTAATATTCCCCATGCTGGTGGTTTTAATTTTTAGGATACGATTTTTTACATAAATTTATAATCTCGTTTACAAAAAGTAAAACAAAAACTAATTTTAACTAAGACTGTATTTTTGTATGCCCGCGGTGCTAGGGAATTGCGTAATATTTTAATGGGGCTTTTCTCCAGATATCACTAAAAGTACAATAAGCTATTCATGCCGTGCAAATTACATGCTTATGTGTTTTCAACAAAAATAGCTTATCCAAGCTCTCCTACACTCAAATAATTATTTTGAAGGATACCACGGTTTATTGAAGTGGAACTCTACCCTGCAGAGTCTAGTTATAAACTATCGGAGCTCAGTTTTAAGAAGTGACGTCGAATAAATACAAAGGGTAGTGGAACTCCTGCGGTGCACTTGCAACGAGCAGACGCGGTTGACACACGCGAGCAGCCGACAAGGTTGCCATGGCGTAATTAATGGCCTAGTCACATAGCCCGGCCGATGAGGTTACGATGAGCCAGCGATGCAATTTTCACCAAACTCGGCCGAACACCGGCCGGACACCGGCCGGACATCCGTGGCGTTTGTTGCTTAAAACAGCATCGGTGGTAGCTCGGTGAAATTTTAACTTCGGAGTTAAATTTCACCGGGCTCTCACCGAGCTCCCTCATCATGTCATCGCAGCCCCATGGTAACCACATCGGGAAACACGTCGGCCGGTGCACGGCCGAGTATCGGCCGGTGTCCCGTGCATCTGAGACAACCAGAGGACGAGGTTTTTTAACGGACAGCGGCCGAGCTCCGACCGAGCTCCGGCCGATGTGGGACAGAGCATCGGCCGGTCACTGTTCAAAGCCCGTTAACAACCCGGCCGGCGATCGCACGGTGTCCTGTTACCTGCTCGGGTACCGGCCGTATTCCTTCCGATGTCCGGCCGACCTCCGGCCGGTAGTTGCTGCCACATCGGCAGAAAAAAACTACCATTTTGAGACAGACTCCGTACGGTCACCGGCCGGTGTTCGGTCGGTCGCCTGAAGATGTCCGGACGGAGTCCGTTCACGTCACCGAGCTCTGCTTCCGATGAGGAGAGCTCGGTGGCACCAAAAAAATCCACCGAGCTCTACCGATGCTGGACATCGGCCGGGCTATGTGACTAGGCCATTAAGTTCGGTAGCGGTTTAAGTACGCTCTGATGAACTGCTTTTGTTGAAAACGTGTTCGTACTCGTTGTTCTTTTTCATGATACCTAGGGGGAATACTTATTAAATATTATGCAATGCACTAGCCCGCGGGCAGTTCAAAAACGCAGCCGAAGTCATAGTAATACTTACTTTATTCTGGAAAATATGTATATTTAGCCAGACACCCCCAAATCTTTTGTGCTATATGAAGAAAATGCTGTTCTTAATCAGTCTCGGATCCATGGGGTCCGCCCCCCCCCCCCCCCCACTAAGTTGGGCCCAGAAAAAGAAATGGGCCCCTAAAACAGTAAGGCCTAAAAAGGCCTCGAGGCTCCAAAAAGTGGGCCTTTTTGGTCATTACTGGGCCTCCTGAGGCCTTATTGTTTAGTTTCAGGCCAAATTTAAGAAAATGGGCCTCAAAATTTCAAAATTTTGGCCCACTTTTCGGTTTTAGGGGTCCAAAGTTTTTTATCTGACCTGAAATTTGCCCCCCCCCCCCCTTGTTGGTTCCTGGATCCGCCCCTGTTAATTGTATTAATTCGATGTAACCTTAAAGCTTGGCCTATAATGCCACTAGGCTGTTTATCATATAAAAAAGTATCAAGATCTGATGTGGCATGATTGGTAAATTAATAACATTTCGGTAATTTATAATTTTCGATTATTTATATCATCATAACTCTAAGTTACACACCACAGAACATCTCTCAGACATGTAGAATTTGCATAATGCTTTTATCTGTTATTTAATGTAGATTATGAACGCAGCAAAGAACATGACAATGAAAACGAAGAAGGGAACAAGTACATGGCTCGCTTTAAAGGAGGCAAGAGAGAGTCTAACAATTGGCAGCGGAAGAAGATTGGGTAAAAAAGTAAGAATCTAAATCCCAGGATTAAAATGTGGTACATGTAGAGATTATCATAAAGCTAGTTCAGGCTATTGTGATTATACCAAGGCCATTGGGCAAATTTGATATCAGCCGAGGTATAATCATATTTATCTTGAACCAACTACATATATGGGACAATCTGCTTATTCTATACCGTTCGTCCTTCGGATACTCATTTCCATAAGAACATTTTTTAAGATTTAAAAATAAGATGAATGACATGTATAGTTTTATATCGAGACTCAAATAGACATGATATGGCAGGCCCGTAGCCGGGAGTCGATGGCCATTTTATCAAAACCATGCAGTTTTTCACCATTCTGAGCACTTTTTAAAAGATTGGGCCATTTTTGAACCGAAATTGTTTAAAGTGAAAAACCCCTTTGGAATTTTTAAAAAGTGAACCCCTTGGTAAAAGCTTGTTACATGCTTGAGGACATGACATGACATAATGAGGGATTTTCCTCCGTATCCAAAACCAATTGCATCGCTGATGGGTCCAATGAGTTGCAAAATAGAACTTTTAATATCACAAATCATTTTAGAGAAATCAGAGGAGGAGTATCTGAAATTGAAATCTGAAATTGAAGTGATATATATAAGGGTTATGTACTGGGAGGTTTTGGATAAAGGGTATATCCTGAGGGATATATTTATATCTGCCCGAGGGACCGAAGGGACCAAGGGGAGATATAAATATTTCCCGAGGGATAAACCCTATATCCAAAACCGACCGTACATAACTGGTGTATCTCATACTTGAGTGGGTTTGGGGTAGATATAACCTTTACCACCTTTTTCAAATGACAATATAGGCCTAAACTGTAAAAGCACAATTAATATTTAACATTTTCATAATATTCCTTCAGCTCAATACAATAGAATTGTAACATTTAAACTTTTTGAAAAATTTTAAACTTCTGAAATTTAAATTTTTAAAATTTTTTAAACTTTTGAAAAAATTCCCGGGAGCGGGATGGATATATTATATCTGCCCGCATTTGGCCTAGAGCGGGACATATAGAATATATCCTGCCCGCTCCTCAGATACGATATATATTCCCGGGTGATATCTACCCCAAACCCACTCAAGTATGAGATACATAAGCCTTCTGCATGCGTATTTTTATTTTGGGATCTACACGCCCTTTTAATCTCGCTACAAACCTCTGTGACCCCCCCCCCTCTACTTGACTACACACCTTCTCACAGAGTTTGTTGTAGCCTGACTAACGCCCTTTGCGAGGCATTTGTCCCGGTCACTTGTTCACAGGTGTGTGCTTTTACTTCCAGGCTGTTGTTGTTGTTTTCACTGATGGTGTCAGCAACCCTACTGACATGTCACCTGTTACAATAGAGGAAGCCAGGAAATTGAAAGACCCCACTTCCTACCAAGAAGGAATCACTCCGCCAACTGTAATTTTAGTAACCGCACCCAATATGAAAGGAGAGGCGACAAGTGGGGTGTCACAGGCAGAGAAGAACAGACTGAAAGAATTGAAGATTAACGAATTTGCAGCGATACCATCAGAAGGATCGCAATACCGCTACGATCTCAAAAGTTTCGATAACCTCAGGGATGTTATCGTTCCTATTCTCAAAGCATCATGTGATACATTGTAAAAAATTAATTTGTATTTGGACGTATTAAATCAATAAAATGAACTTAAATTTAAGCATCATTAATCTCATGATTTGTATCCGGTCAGTGACTGACTCTAATGGCCTCTCGGAATATTGAGTCAACGACTCTTTATGAGGTGAACTACTGTACTGTGTCATTAATACGAATGATGATTAATAAATAGTGTGAAAAATATGCTATCAAACATGAATCTACTTGTTGAGACTCGATCAACTTGAGTGTTTCTGAGAAAATGAGGATTTCAATGGGGGCATACACCATTGACGGCATCGGGATACCATCATATATGTCACTCCTGATGTCACCGTGTTAAGTCAATGCACTCTTTGCTAAAATTCTCACTTTATCAGAACTCAAGTTGGCGGAGTTGATCGAATCTCAACAAATACGTGGGAGATCCATTTTTAAAAGTAAGAATAGAATAGGGTGGGGAAGAGGGGTTCTTAACTAATGAACTTAAACCTTTTTGAAATTTTTGGGGAACTGGGTAACCGGACAACTCAACCCCTAGACCTCAACCCCTGGTCAGTTTATCTCTGGACATGAATCCCTGAACAGCTCATCCTCACACCCGAATAACCTGACAACGGTAAAGCCAGATACCGTTTTCACAAATGGCGGACATACATGTAACCGTCGTATTTCAATTCTTTTCCATGAATAAGCATAAATGAAGTCCTTTGAAGAAGGATGAATCCGATCCGGATATCATTTTTTGGGAGATATTAATATCAGACTGTAAGGCAAATACCAATTTTATTATGTCACGGCCCTCTAGTGATTCTAATGTAACGTCATTTTAATGGGAGTTGCTAGCAAGTTTGAAATTACCCCTTCCGACTTTATAAAACTAAAGATTTGGTTATATTTTTTTAATCAGTACGTCAACTGATTATTTTACCAATGCTAATTGGCATTGGGTCCCCACGGACCTCTGCTAGATTACCTCCTCTGTGTCTAGGCACAATAATCTTTTGAGCCAACTACCAATACACAATAGGCAGATAGGGGAACTGGCTCCGGATCTGTGTGGGTCCCCGGGAGTTTAAACCATTTTAAAAAGAACGCACTAAACGAAATCAAACCGGAATGCCGACTGGTTTTCAAAAGCTGAATGTCGCTATTTTACTTCTGCAATAATATTATTCTAAAACAGAAAAGAGACTTTACACCTTATCCACAGACGATTTTACCAATAACAAGGAATATCATTTCGGCACCAAGCGATCCCTTGTACAAGAAGACATTTGAAATCACGACATTTTTGGCTGTTGCCTAGCAATACGCCATTTTGAATGCTGGGGAAATTTTTCAAATGTGATTTTTTGAATATAAATGCATTTATTTGTATTTAGCTTGGATTTATGAGGTATGGTGTAAATTGCTCGTAATATCTACGATCTTAAGATGACGGAAATACTAAATAAATGGCTCAATGATGAGCTTAAAGTTTCTACAGTAATAGGTAAGATGTTTCCCAATTACGATTGAATCAGATGAGAAGACAAATTTTGATCGTCTAACACTTGCAATCTGCAGTCTGCACATGGTTCATTTTTATGATGCATGGGGCATGCATTAGGGGTCTCGCGATTGCTCCGATTTGCTCGAGCAATTGGTCAAGATATGAGCGTATCGATACTCAACTTGAATATCGGTCAAAATTCTGTATCGTTTTAACAGCTCCCAAAACAGCAAAATCATGTTCGAAAGCATATCAAATAATGTTAGATTGTATCTTCCCGTTTTTTTGCATTTTGTTCCTTGTATGATCTGGCATAGAATGAACTAATGTTGAATGAAAAAACTTTGGATAAGATCATGAAAAAAAATATAAATCATGGATGGACACTAGTCTAGTGGACATTAGTTTTAGGAGGACATTCAGAGTTACATACTGTGTCACAAGTTCGAAATTGGGCGGTTGGTGCATTTGGCATCGTCATCTCTTGTTTCCCATATATTTATTTGAAATAAAAATATTTGTTGCGCTGTTACATTGCTCGTATCGTTTGTATCGTATCGTGAGGTAAATATCGTTGCTCGTATCGAAATTAAAGATAATGTATCGTGTGACCCCTAGCATGCATGCTCAAAATAAAATGAACCAAATTTAGATTTTCGCATGTTGTTTGATAGTATTACGAATCAAAACTACCAGACCTTATGAGGAAATGAGTCTGTAATTTGATATCTTTTGGATATTGTGCTTATATGCACAATGGTTGACGCAACTATGTCATTCATACAAATGTCATTCATGTACGGGGCATTCTAACACACTCCCTTTCAGGTCTAGTATCTGGCTCGTTACACTATAGCTCTCCCGAAGAGCGTACCTATGGGTCGTTACATTGGTATCGGATATGGGACTTCCCTTGTGTATTATGACAGGACGTTGTCCTTCAGGGGAATAGTATAATGACCCTTGATAGCAAGTCGCTACTACAGTCTTAGCTGTAGTGGCTAGTCTTTTTGGCTAAAGTGATAGAGCGTCATACTTGTGAGTGGAGAGTCCTTAGTTCGATTCCCACTTTAGGCATTGAATCTAGTGCAGGTCTAGTATCTGACTCATTACATTACAGCTCCCTGGACAAGCGTGCTCACGGGTCATTACATATTGTTGCACAATGGTCTTTTGATTTCTTATTTTATAGGTTCTGGCTACTTTGATTGCGAAAAATAAAATTTAGGTAACAGACTATCACCTTCCAGAAGTTAAAAATTAGTAAACATTCATAAATATCGGAACAACGACTTTGTTGCATCAACCATTGAGCATAAGCACAATATCCAATACAAAGATATAAATTGAAATGTTAATCAGATTTGCATGCTTCTTCATAAATTCCGGAAGTTTTGATACACTTTATTTCTAGCATGCATGCCAGGCATTAGTCAGTTGAAGCTACAGTACATACAGTATTCTCATTTAGATGGCGGTGTGATCTTTGATTAAGCGAGAGTAGAATCATACCCATCGTTCATTTAGATATGAATTGTCTAAGTCTTTGTCTGAATATTATGCGGCAGTTAAGTTAATAAATGAAAAAAAAACATTGTTTTCGAATGGTACTTCAACCAAATTTGTTACAAAACCAGGGCTGTCAACTTGGGACCATCTAACATGAGTGACTTCCAAATGTTGAACACCTTCCTTCAAATTTTGGACAGCTTAAGGTCTCATGGAAGTTAACAGGAAATGACAAAACAAAAAATGACAAAGCCATGCTGGATTTTGAAAATTTTTTGAACCAAGATAACAGAGTTCTGTTTGGACCTCCAGTCAGTTTAACTAGTTCCACATATCATTTACATGACCGGGAACACAATTGAAATGGTCAGAATGACCATAAACATGAGAGAATAACCTTTTCAGCCCTCTGAAAATGTGACTAAAAAATAGCTAAGAGTCAGTGCTCAGGAAAGGTCACTGAACAGAATCTTTTGACTTTTTCAGAAAATGTGCCCAATATATTGCTCTAAATGATACAATTTAAAAAAAATCTGATATCATTCTTAGAAAAATAAAAAATTTAAAAAAACTGAATTGAAAATCGATCTATTTTCCTTTTTACTACAGCCATTATTGTTTCAGACAATCTTTTAAAATTTCAAAGATTGTGTCATTTAGAGCAATATATTGGACACATTTTCTGAAAAAATCAAAAGATTCTGTTGATTGACCTTTCCTGAGCACCTACTTTTAGCTATTTTTCAGTCACATTTTCAGAGGGCTGAAAAGGTTATTTTATCATGTTTATGGTCATTCTGACCATTTCAATTGTGTTCCAGTCATGTAAATGATATGTGGAACTAGTTAAACTGACTGGAGGTCCAAACAGAACTCTGTTATCTTGGTTCAAAAAAAATTCAAAATCCAGCATGGCTTTGTCATTTTTTGTTTTGTCATTTCCTGTTAACTTCCATGAGACCTTAAGTGAACACTGATAGATTTTGGACACCTAAAATTTTTCCGTTCAAATCCGTCAATGGTTAGGTGTAAATATTTTCGAAACAAATGCGTGATATATACACATATTTTGTACCAAATGCGTGACATAAATGGCAATCGTGTGCAGAGACCGAACGGAATGCGTTCGCTTTTTTTCGCCGTCCGGTATTTTACCGTGTCGGCATTTCACAAAAAAACGATTTTTAAAAGTATCAACAAAATGGTGATTTGCGTTATATTTGATCATACACGCAAAATTGATGCATGATTTCTATTTTTCCAGCAAACGTGTGACAATCACGCCTAATGCGTGAGGGTTGACAGGGCAGCAAAACAAACTAGAGTAGAACCTGTATATCTGAACACCTGGCTAATTCAAACACCTCCCAATCTGAACACTTTTTTTGGTCCCATTTTTTCCTCCCATTGACTCCCATGTTAAAAAAAACCTTGAAATGTGAAACCTCCCAATTTGAACAGTGAACAGTCATATTTGAAAAATTCACCTGTCTAATCTGAACACTTTTCATAAAATTTCTGATGTTTCATACAAAATTGCTCAAATTTTGTCATGATATCAAAACTTTGGGAAATAATCTTGAATGGTCTCATTCATAATGGGGCTTTCCAGCATGATTAGATTTGAATCAAATTTTCAAATTTCTGGAATGCCATAAAGCTATGTGGTCAAAAGAACTATAAATATTTACTGAGAATGTGTTCACATTTCTTCAGAATCGGGAATATTGCGAATGCTAAAACCTCGAAATGTGAACACCTCCTAATCTGAACGCTTTTATCCGGTCCCAATGGCGTTCGGATTAGACAGGTTTTACTATATTGAGAATTATTGTAACCCGGGAATTGGAATGGACTTTTTTAGTGCAGGTGGGAAATCCAAATTGGAAAGAAGCGTGTGCAGATTGCAATGTGTGCATCGATGCTTTAAATCAAAAGTACTGGAATTTATAGAAGCAAGTCCATTTTACATTTCATTTTACATCTCTTGAATATTGTCCTTATGCTCAATGGTCATTGATGGTTGACTCAACAAAATAAATGTGCTGATATTTATGGATGTTTACTAACTTCAGGTACTAACTTATACAAGACATAAAATGTGTATGATTTATTCCAGATCATACCAACTTTGCAAAGGAGTTTTCAACTGGGTATCTTATGGGAGAGGTCTTATACAAGTACCAACTCCAAGATGACTTTGATCAATTTTCTCAAAACAAGTAAGTGTAGTAACTATTATAATGTTTAAAGCTTTAGCTGTGGCTATGTAAATTTATTTGGAATGTAAATCAAAATGATGTACATATGGACTTAACCGAACCAATGTTGAGCTTTACAACTCACATTACATATCTAAGTAGTGTAATTCCTTCCTCTCATTAAAATAGATCTACAATTTAAAAACACTTTATTCACCAGAACG